TGCCCACCCCCCCACCCCCCAGGACCCCGATGACAAGGCAGGGCAGGACAGCGCAGAACCCTGCAGCCAGGTTCCATTCCCTGCATGCAGAGGCTGGACCCAGCTGGGAGCAGCCCCTCCCCTGGGTAGTTTCTGGTGGCGAGTGAGTCACCACACACAGCTCCAGCCTGGGCAGCAGCAAAGCACAAGGCTGCTAGCAGATTCTGCCTCGCCCTGAGCAGGTGCCCAGGCCCTGGTGCCCAGCCCCGCCTGCTTCCCCACCTCCAGCTGCTGTTCAGCAGAAACCATGCTGAGCAATGCAGACAGCAACAGCCTCTGCTTCTGCCTGTAGCAGCCAAATCTGAGACTTTTGTTTCAATTTACAACAACTGCCCCAGACAGCCTATGAAACCTGGGACTCTCCTGGCCAACCTGGAACATATGGTCACCCTATACAAAAGCCACCAGAACCTGGTGCCCTTAATTTTAGCATCCCAGTGTCATTAGTTTTACCTCTTGCCCCGATTACTCTATTGCTTCTCCCTTACTACTTTTGTTCTCTCTTGGCTTTCCAGCTTCCTCCTGAAAGCTACTTATTTTTCAACCTTCTTCTTGTTCTCCAAACTTTCTGGTTCATAGCATCTCTTCTTTCTAAATGCTCCCGAAAAAAGGACCCCTACAACCATCTTCTGCCCTGCTTCCTTCCTTGGTCTTAGAATTCCCATTTCCATGCTCTATTATAGTTTCTCTTCCCACTCGTGTCAGCCACACACAATTATACTAGAAGCTCCTCAAAGCAGCAAGGCTATTAGTATACTTACCCAGGGTAGTCTTTTTCAGTATTATTTACATGTGGGCTGTTCAATGAGCCCAGGTCACATTTCAACCGAGACAGTACACCGGGGTACACAACTCCCAACCCATGGGCAGGATCAAGCTCATAAGGCTCCTCAAGTGTCCAACAACTTCGTAACAGGCAGTCTTAACTGTCACTCCCTGCTGCCAAATTTCCAGACCCATGGGGAGCCACATTACACAGGGTGGCCAGACAGCATCACCCTGTGCACTAGATTGGCTGCTCCAGGCTGAGCTGAGGTTGCAGGGTACCCAGGATTCAGCCCACAGACTGGCACTGTGCCACTCATCCAGCCTGCCCATCTAAGAGACGGAGCACAGCTGGACTATGCCATTAACGACAGAATGGTCCCCACTGTTATATCAAATCAGGGGCTCAAAATTGAGATAAGGATTCAACTGAATCACCTTGAATTCATATTTATAATGTATTGCACTGCATATTTAAGAGAGAAATCTTCAACAGATGCATATAGATTTGGTTCATTTACCTGTTTCTAGCAGGAGACTTCCCTGAATCCTCCTGAACAGAGACAAGGCGCGCTGACAATGTGGAAGCCGAAGAGTCTGGGTGAATCAAACTGCCAAGAGAGTTATGTCATGATAAGCATCAGCATGTCAAGATAACCACCACCATAAGGCAGCAATGATACAGTTCCAGTTGCACAAAAATCCATAATGCAAGTTGAGAGCAGCAAAAACTTAAGAAAGATTCTTCAACTCCAGCCTCTTGATGTTTATAAGAAACTGGCTTCACTCTCTTCTTTTCAAATCTACCTTTATCACACCACAAACCCCTTTTCCCATTAACCTACCTCCATTTGACTCAATCTCTTTTCCCAACCCCAACCCCTCACTCACTGCTACTCCCTACCCATCCCCTTTCCACCCCAAAAAGGTTTGTTAACTTAGCTATTTAACAATAGTCATTACTATCATATATGGAAAATGTCATCAATCTTTGCTCTCATTCTACCATTATCTTTATTGCCCTATGACAAAGCCATATCTACACTATAGATTTCTGTGCCACAGCTGGTCAATCACAAATTGCACCTCAAACTGCAGATCAACTTCAGTGTGCCAGAAGTCTGTAGTGCACAGTTTTAGGTAGTATAGACTCTACTCTTGCAAGTAGAATGCATTTCACTTACTCACTGAAGTATAGGGGCTTACTAGGTATTCATATCCAGAACACCTGTATCCAGGCTAGGAGCATTTTGCTGGTATTCAGTATGGATCTCCACACTGGTAAAGCACTCCTGATGTGAGCCTGGCCTTAGATTAGAAGGTGTTCAAGACAGCAGCTATTCTTTTACTCCCCCAGCTACTCCAGCGCATTTGGTTTAGACAACCTAACTCTTGCCATGGAGAATGTTATTGCTTAGAAAACTCTAAGTATGCTCAGATTTGTAGATGAAGCAGAAGTTAAGAGTGTGAGCTCACTTCGTACTGCTGTGCAATTAGAGAAGGCAGCTTACAACTTAGCCTTCTCTCCTGCAGGACTAAACCAATAGTCAAATCAGAAAAAGCTAGTGAACTTTGAGAGAGCGAGTGAGAGAAAAAAGTCTAGGCTTGCTTGGCCTGTGTCTGAAGAGCCATGCCAAGACTGTATCTTGCAAACCTAGCCTTTCAAGAAGCAGAACAATTATACAACTTCAAACTGTACAAGTGCCAAAAAATAAAAGATGCAAAGACCCTTTCAAAACAGACATCTGTCTAGCAACTGACACACTCCCATGTCAGAGACAAAGGGATGAAGTCTGATCTGCTTTATTCCATGAATCTTGTTTTCACTGAATTTTGTGACTTTTCTTACTTTCACATTGTAAGTTTACAGTGGACACACCACAGAACTCTGAACTCTGGCTGCCATGTAAGGAATGTTTGAGATTCCCTAAAATGAGGTTTTATTAAACTGACAACTACAGAACAAGGAATTTGATCCAAATGTCTCAAATACATTACGTTAGAGAAAGGCAGTTCCCTTTGCTGCTGTGTAACCCATGTTTTCTAGGAGTTAACCCCTACTGCTAGTACAGACATCTAATGCACGTGGGTGTCTACATGTGAATTTAATCCAGGAGCAGTTTACTCTCAAGTAAATGCTCCCTAGCAAGCATCTTTGGCGAGAGAGGCAGCGAGCTGCTGGGAAGGGATGGCCTCCACCTCTCTCCCCTAGGGAGGAGGCTCTTCTCAGCCAGACGGGCTGACCTGCTCCACCGGGCTTTAAACTAAGCCCGTTGGGGGAAGGGGGGACTACCCCCACTCACGGCCCAC